TGGAAAATGCTAGACAATGTTTGAATGAGGTCAGCAAGAGCCAGATTGACCAGCAGGTAGTTGATGGTGACTTCGTGCATTTTACGATTGGTCGCGACAATCCAGATCACCAGACAATTCCCACCAACCGCAAATATAAATATGATAGCGTAGATCGATAGGAAAAGTGGGGCAGCCGATATCTTGTTGTAGATAGCATTATCAGTGTCATTTCCACCAATAGAGCTGTTCGTATCGTTTATCGAGATATTAGTTTGCGTGAAATCACCCAGCATTTCGAAAACACACTCTTTCAACTTCTCTAACAATTGTTTGACTGCAAAACACAGTAATACTTCGAATTCTTCTGAAATGCCTCTCGAGTGCTTCAATCTATTCACGCGTTTAAATAATTGAACTTATAGCCCACTGAGTAGCTATGATTAATAAGTTTGCCTGTACCCAATTTCGGTCTACTTAATTAAATTGCATTTTCTCTTCCAAAGCTTCAGTACACAATCAAAGAGCCAGCTGCTAACAGCACGATAGCAAAACAGACAGAGTACACACACTCTTCAACACGTTTATTGAATCAACTATCTTAGTAAAACCACAATATATATTGAGCGTGTAAAATGACATGTGCTTGTAGCGTACAGGAAACGCTTGCTATACTGAGCCAACTTCCGCATTTTCGATGGACAAAAACAGGAAAAATATTACCATACCGTGACAATGTGATCTGTAATTGCCAAATTAAATCCAAATGAAGTCGGTTGCGCAGCTACGCACTTTCTTCGTTTCAGAGACGCGAGGCAGAGACAAAAGGGGAAGTCCAAAAGCTTCCAGAAGTATATACAGGATGTCTAGATCAAAACATCACTTTATGTACTTTACGACAGTTTACGTTCAAACTTTATCATAATACTAAATCTTCTTTTATTTATTTTAAAATTTTTTTCCCCATGTACAATAAATTTATGTGTAGTATATTTACAATAATTGTAGAGTGCGGGCTAGAGACCTACTAGAAATCTTAGTAGACTTTTTATTTAGGTCTCTAGTTATGCTAGTTTGTATTGTGTTATGTAATAAATTATTTACAGTCAATCACAATATTAAAGGAATATATATATATTTACAAGAGAGAAAAAGAAGAGAAATTGTTCTTATTATAGAAGTGAATATTTACAAGAGAGAAAAAGAAGAGAAATTGTTCTTATTATAGAAGTGAATATTTACAAGAGAGAAAGAGAAGAGAAATTGTTCTTATTATAGAAGTGAATACCAATATTGTAGATGCGTTTGGGTTCTTATAAGAATTAGACTACAATATACTATTAAATTTGTCATATAGCAGAATGTTTTATAGCATATCTTATACATTGTATAGTAAAAAATATTGTTTAATTTGCTTTTTGAAAGTGCTGTAGAAATTTATATCTATAAATTTTGTTTCTAATGAATTCCATACGTCAACTCCTTTATTTGACAGAGTGTGTTCTACATAATTTGTTCTTTTATAACATTTGTGAAGTTTTGATGCATTTCTCGTGTTATATTGATGAATTTGGTTGTTTGTCACAAAATAATCTTTAAAAAATTCTGGTAAATTATTAAGATGGTGGTATCGAAACATAAATAAAGCAGTTAAATAGTCGTTGATTTTGAAGATGTTGAGGATATTTAAATCTTTGAAAATTGGTTCACTGTGATCAAAGTAAGATTTGAATGCCATTAAACGCACTATTTTTTTTGTATATTCATTATTTTTTGAATTCTGTTTTTGTAAGTATTACCCCATGTTAGGTTGCCGTAAATCAAGTATGGATAGACTAATGCATATAGTATATCAGTTTTACAGTATTTCGGTTCACGAAATGTCGTATTTTAGCTATTATACCAGCAGCTCTAATTAATTAATTTGTTTGCTACCTTAGCTATATGATCTTTCCAGGTCAAACATTCGTCAATGACAATACCAAGGAATACTGTATTTTTAACTTGTTCAATATTATTACCATTAATGTTAATTTTAATGTCTTGCTTTGGTTTTTTATTTGAAGATCGGAATAATATTACTTATGTTTTTGTAGTATTTAGAGATAACTTATTCGCATTTAACCATTCAGCAACTTTATCAATTTCAATTTGCATAATTTCAATTTTCTTAAACACAGACAGACAGCTACGTAAAGAACTTAGAACTATATATATACAACAACTTCGTCTCTTCTATACTGACGATTAAAAATTTCCTTCGTATCTAAAAGATACTAGAAAATCCAAACGAATTGATGGAATTTCAAATGTATATAGCAAAATCTACTCGAGATAAGGCTTCGTGTTTAAATTAGCCATAACACTAGTGCCTTGATCGTGTTTCAGTCGTGACACCTTTTTCAGTGAACGTCACAACTGGGAGAAAGAGTTGAAGAAATTCAAAGAGAAAAGTTTTCGTAGTTTCTGGAATTGCACGTATAGCGGCATATAGTGATGTTGTGTTCCTGACGGGAAGACGAAATGTACTGATGATCAATATCGCCTTTGTGGCACAGACGCACACGCCTTAAATGGTAATATTGCTTCACATGGCAATTGAAGCCAATGACTGGACAGACACACGAGAAATGAGAATCATTCACTCACTCAGGACAGAAAAAGGAAGTAAAATTTTACAAGACTTTTATTAGAACATTGAGAGTCTTAGTCTTATATCTGGCATCACTCACTATATTGTATATATACAAGAGATTTTGGTAAGAGCTCGACAACTCTGTGGGTTAGAGCTTGTCAACTCTGTGGGTTAGAGCTCGACAACTCTGTGGGTTAGAGCTCGACAACTCTGTCGGTTAGAGCTCGACAACTCTGTGGGTTAGAGCTCGTCACCGGCTCTGTGGGTTAGAGCTCGACGACTCTGTGGGTTAGAGCTCGTCAACTCTGTGGGTTAGAGCTCGTCAACCGGCTCTGTGGGTTAGGCTCGACGACTCTGTGGGTTAGAGCTCGACAACTCTGTGGGTTAGAGCTCGTCACCGGCTCTGTGGGTTAGAGCTCGACGACTCTGTGGGTTAGAGCTCGTCAACTCTGTGGGTTAGAGCTCGTCAACCGGCTCTGTGGGTTAGGCTCGACGACTCTGTGGGTTAGAGCTCGACAACTCTGTGGGTTAGAGCTCGTCACCGGCTCTGTGGGTTAGAGCTCGACGACTCTGTGGGTTAGAGCTCGTCAACTCTGTGGGTTAGAGCTCGTCAACCGGCTCTGTGGGTTAGGCTCGACGACTCTGTGGGTTAGAGCTCGACAACTCTGTGGGTTAGAGCTCGTCACCGGCTCTGTGGGTTAGAGCTCGACGACTCTGTGGGTTAGAGCTCGTCAACTCTGTGGGTTAGAGCTCGTCAACCGGCTCTGTGGGTTAGGCTCGACGACTCTGTGGGTTAGAGCTCGACAACTCTGTGGGTTAGAGCTCGTCACCGGCTCTGTGGGTTAGAGCTCGACGACTCTGTGGGTTAGAGCTCGTCAACTCTGTGGGTTAGAGCTCGTCAACCGGCTCTGTGGGTTAGGCTCGACGACTCTGTGGGTTAGAGCTCGACAACTCTGTGGGTTAGAGCTCGTCACCGGCTCTGTGGGTTAGAGCTCGACGACTCTGTGGGTTAGAGCTCGTCAACTCTGTGGGTTAGAGCTCGTCAACCGGCTCTGTGGGTTAGGCTCGACGACTCTGTGGGTTAGAGCTCGACAACTCTGTGGGTTAGAGCTCGTCACCGGCTCTGTGGGTTAGAGCTCGACGACTCTGTGGGTTAGAGCTCGTCAACTCTGTGGGTTAGAGCTCGTCAACCGGCTCTGTGGATTAGGGCTCGACGACTCTGTGGGTTAGAGCCAGGGGCGGCGCTACAGGGGGTGTGTGTGTGGGGGGGGGGTGGAACACCCC